CGCACCTACTTGCCAAGGGAAAGCTGGTCACTACGGGCACCATGTGCACTAACAGACAAGTAGCGCTCAAACTTAAGAGAAGTTGTTCGCAAACTTTTCGTAGGTGTAGCATGGAGCAACCATTGATAATACAACGGATTCAGAAACCAAACGCCAAGTCCCAAGGGGAACCGAACTGGTAACCCCCAGCTTGAAAAGCAAGACCGCTACCAACTGCGCTACCGAAGCTCACCACAGGACTGGTCGGTTCTTCCTTCGAGACTTTTATAATGGAGCTAACATGTGATTGCAGGCAAGACACTGAAAATCAAGACAAAAACCCTCCGTAACTCCTTTCAGAGAAGAGTTCAGCAGATAATGAAAGCAGATTTGAGTTCAGCGTCTCATGCTGCGTACAGAAATGTGCACCTCATTTGGCCGGGTTGGCCTAATGACCTTTCCTAGTAAGTGTCATGGGCCTGTCCCTAAAGTAGGATTCAATCCAGCCTAACAACGGCCCAATGATGCCAGGTTGTCTGTTTTCATGATAAGCTGAATGGCTCAGTTTATGGAGGGCTTTCGAGAGATCAATAAAAATGACATCAGCAACCTTGCCTTTGTTCAGGGCAGTGGTCCAATCAAAGAGGATTCAGAAGAATACAGCTTATCGAGGCTCCACTCAAGAATCCATGTTGTTCCTTAAACGTTATGTCTCTGAACTCATGCTAGAACTCCATCTCTGATCAGTTCCTTCATAACCGCAGCAGTTGGCGTGATGCTGATGGGCCAGAAATCACATGAAAGACGGTCTTCGGACTTATTAGGGATCAGACACTCCAAGTAGCATAGATATATTAAAAATGTGCGCTAATGGTCGCCTCAATGAACGAGCGCATTTCCGAAAGACTATCGAAGGGATACCGGCGTACGGTTCAGCCAGCGATGGCTTCAGCTTGGCAAGAATCTTGAAAATATCACGGGATGAAAGAAAATACATATTTGTAAGACGATGGTTGACACGGAATTTGCTGCTCATAGGAAACCCGTCTTCTGCAATATTGAAAGAAAAAACACTGGCAAAATAATCTTCTAATGCCTCAGCTTTCTCTTCCTCAGAGAAGAAGAGAAAGCCGGAGTGATCGCAGGCAATGTTGGAAAGGGTTTGGTCTCTGCCCAGTGAAGCTAAAAAGGGCTTTCAAATTGAGCCTAGCCGACAGCCGCCTTTAAAGGCACGGGTCAGGCTTAGTGGAGTAAACCAGTCCCTTTTGTCGTCTCTGTGCATGTCCAGTCCCTTTTGTCGTCTCTGTGTCGTCTCTGTCACAGGGACGTTGCATGCTCAGAATCTCAAACGTAATGCTTATGAAACGATCCGTTGGGTCACTTACCGCGTACTCACTTTCAGAAATTCTCCCAATATCGGATCATCGACTTTTCTTTCTCTCTTTCCTTGTATTAGACTAGTTATTTGCAGGCTTTTTAGCTTCTTCAACCACATCCTTTTTTCAGATTTGGCAACGCTTTCTTGAATCGCTTCTAAAGTTCTACGCTAAATAACCGAAACAAAGACTGTCGTCGACACACCTGGTATTCTCTGCGGACAAAAGCAAAGGTAAGGACGAGTTTCTGAATACTTTGCGCCTCTCAATTTTTATTTAATATTTGGTTAGAATCAGTTGTTTGCAATGAGGTTTTCTTACATTCGCGAATGTCATGATTATAGTTGAAATCTAGTGGTAATTAAATCTTGAGTCAATCAATCTTGTGCCATCCCGGGTTTATTTATCCATGATATCTCGCTGTTATGGCTAACCTGTCTATAAAAAATAGTCCTTAGCTTTCCAGGATAAGTCTCACAGCTTCATCGCTATTCATTTCGGGCTTCTTATGCACCGCATGATTGCATTCTTCCGCTCATTGTGAACACTGGTTCCTAGTTTGAGCTCACTACTAGCATTCCATTTTGCGATCAATTCCATGTTTCATTTTCAAGTCTGTAATCAGCCAAGTGGGCATACGATTGGCGGTATATACCCGGGTAACGTGCAGATTTTGTCAGCACTTCTTCTTTGCTGACTAAATAGATCTTTTACTCAATGTTGATCCTTTTTGCAGCTCCCCGTTTTTCGCTCCTGTCATCCAACCTGCATTGAATTGTTACCTATTTTTCAAAGCTCGCACCTCTAGCATGTACAATAGATGGAGTCTGTCTCTCCCAGGGTCAAGCGTAAAGTGTAAGTAATTTTAACAATAGGATGGTGGCATGTGACATACGTCGAGGAGTTTATAGAATCGAAAAGGTTTGGTCTGTGAATATTGCCATGTCATAGTCAGTTTTCCTTGCTAAACGTCATTGTGAGTCTGAAGGAGCGCTCCAGAAGCGCGAACATCACAACCATGACGCTTGACCTTGGTCTATCCTGCGTTGCTCGACTTGAGAGGCTATTTTTGTCACTGCCCAGTATTAATTTGTTGCAGAAAAGATCGCGGCCACGACTTTACTAGAGTCCTGGAATGGTTCGCTGAACATGTAGATCGTATCATTCTTCTGTTCGATGCGCATAAGCTAGATATCTCCAACGAATCAAACGGTGCATTGAGGCGCTTAGTAGTGGGTTTCAATATTTACTTTTGATTCTGTTGCCTTCAGGTAGTCATAAAGGATAAAGGATAAAGCATTTGCCGTTGATCAATCCCTTTTTGGGATGCGGCACGCATTCTACTTCCATTTGTACATTCGTAGTGGCGTTTGAATGCGATGTGGCCTATACAATGACTTGCGGGGGCCAGCCGATGTACAAGTCAGTGTTTTTATCCTCCCAGACAAGTCTGGTACCAATTAACCGACCCCGGAGGGATGGAAGGCTTGGTTGGCCCGGGCGACTCACGACCCAGGATTTGATCCCCGGACCGCTCGCGTGGTAAGCGTGCCACTTGCCACTACACCACTTCCGCCCGTAGTTACATTACTGAGAAATGTACTTTCATCCTTGACCATCACGGAATTGAACCATATGCGAAAATTGATAGTTCCTCTAGTACTCTAATGCTTATTGCAGGAAATGAGGACAAAATTTGTATTGTCTTGAACACCACCGACATGGTAGATCATCAGCATTGATGCGTGTCCATGGAACCTTGATGTGGTCCCTTGGGAAAGTCAGTTTCATAACATTCAGTAATTGGACTAGATTAGGTGAAATATAGTATTTTTCTTACAATTAAGGTGTTCAAAACCCCGAAATATCTCATGTTTACATAGGAACGTTTTGGGATCTTTTGGTTCAATTCTTTATGAGTTTTCCAACTTTGCCACAATTAGAACATATAGATTTCGCGAGAGCACAAGATATCACCAGGAAACTTTCCGGATGTGATTAAGAGCGTGACAGTCTGGCAACTACATAGATGCTGATGAAGTAATTTTATTCAGCAATTTTGCATAACCTAACAACTTGCACAATTGTTTTGTCGATTGTCGCATACTAAAATCGTTAGAATTTCCGAAATCTTTTCTTTTTTGGCCTTTTGGTTTTGCTTTGAGTAGCTTCTCACGTTTTTATTGGCATGTTTGTATAGTTTTTTGGTTTTCTCCTATTTCGCTGTGAGCATATGATGGAAACACCGGATCGGGCGCTGTCGGATCAAGGCAGAATTCCTAATGCGAGATAGGAATGTGAGCAAGTCCACGAGTCATATGGCAATTGAGAAGGACAACATGATACATTTTGTGTTTCATTGATAGTTTTGTTTTCGGGTAAAAAAATAAACGTTGTTGGGTAAAAAAAACTCACTTCTAAACGGAATGCAATTATTTGAAACAAGACAACCTTCCAATAAACGAAGTGTTCTTAATTGGTTTTGTAAACAGAGCAAAAGCAATTGGAACAGTTCTGCTCCCATACGCACACATGCGAACACACTTATTTTCTCAGGAGTAAGACTAATAGGACCATTGACGTATGCCGTCGGAAATGGCTCACAGTTCTAAAATCTAACATGTGCACGCTGCCTCGCGATAGTGAATATTGATCGCGATAACCCATGTTGTGCCCTACCGTGGCAAGGTGGGAGAGGAGACGGACCCTTTCGTTTCGAACATCGTTTTTGACTAATTGTTTTGTTTGCTCTCCAATACCATTACTAAGTTCAATGAATTCAATTCGTTTATTCAGCTATTAAAATGAGACGTACTTGCGCATTTTGTGAGCATGTTGATAACATGCAGACGATGACAAGAATGTACGCGCAGTCGAGAAATACTAATTTTATTGTGACTGCCTCCCTTTCTTTAATGGGAGTGCTGAAGAAGGAGAGTGGGCGCAATAGCATACAACATAAGCAGGAACCACATCTACATTTGTCATTCTCATGTGATCAAAGCGGTGAGTATAGAAAGGTCCTTCATATCTTCAATGTCATCAATTTTATTATGAACAGGCCCAGTACTTGCGTGCCGAGCTGACAGCTTCCAGAAAGCGTCTTTCTTTTTGCGACGATCCCTCTACAGGACGAAGCATGGCTTACATCACAACTGCAGGTGTTGCGCCATACCATGTGGGTGTGATAAATGGAATGCCCCACGTACTGCTCAATATTCAGAGTTGTTTCACAGTGGGTAGTAAGCAAATAACTGACTAATGGCGTCATCGCTGGCCTGTGGGGCTGTTTTTGGACGATGCTCTAAAGAAATACCACGGATCTGCAGTGTGGCCTCAGCATTACGAGGAGGAGGAGCAGCGAGTAGGATAACAGATTCTAAGACCTGTTCGCAGAGACAAGTTGAAACACCTACTGAGCTGGGCGCTGATGTACGAGTAGATGATGTGGAAATGGAGGAAAAAGCTGATGAAAGTGAAGACGAAGCTCCCTATAGAGCTGCAGAGGCTCAACAATTACCACTTCTCCCTGTCAAGACAACGAATGAAGCCTGTTTCAGGATCCGAGTACCAGCCCAGTGGCTCTGAATCGGACTGCAGTTCCCTGGGCACGATCGACATCTTGGGCAGACGGGTGAAGCAAACATGCAGAAGTACTTCTTTATCGAAAGGGAGAAGCTTCTTAAGCTCTTCCGTGTCTGCCCCGAGTGCGGACATCGACTGGGCAGTACGCAGCTAGAGCTGTCGAGACTGCAGCTGTTGTCCGCTTCGTGTGTGGAAAGTGCATTGTCCGATACCCACCCGTCAAAAGGTGGGAGAGCCAGGACCCTGCCGTTGCACATTCACGCCAACGCAAGTTTAGAGGCAACTGTCCAACGTGCCAGGTATTGAATTTAACACGACAAACATACCCCGCCCACTTTCTCTTGAAGTTGAGTCTACTCACTGACCGCGTACCGTAAGCCCGTGGTGATGGCCGAAACCGCTACAACGAGCAAGCCAAAGTAGCCCTCTTTTCAAAGACCTTTTACATAGAGGTCTTCAAATGGACGGAGCCAGCTGTCGAAAAAGTTTACCGTTCCCATCAAGAGCTGGTGTTGAAAAGAATAGTGAGGAGAAATAGAGTTCAATGAGTAATTGCTCAAACCCTTCTCATGACCGTTTACCTTTTGTCAATTCAGGGTGAGGGGCTGAATCTGGCAGCCGATGGAGCATACGATAGCCGTGGTTATTCGGCGTTGATATGCAAAGTCGTGCTGTTAGATCTGCGTACTAACTTGATTCTCCATACAGAGGTGCTCCGTCGATAATAGACGGGTGAGGCGATAAAATATGTATAAGCATGTAAAAATAATGTTGTTTGATGACATTTGACATTTAACATTTAACATTTGCTCCATTTCAGAGAATGTTAGTACGCGTATGGAGGTAGAGGGACTGAGGCGTTTGCTGCGGTGGGCATGCGGATGGGGGTTGCGAATTTCGTCACTGACGACACACCGCAGTCGTTCATTGGGCGCCGCCATCCGAGAACTAGAGCCTGTGCTCGGTGCCATACATCATTCCTATGATGGATGGCACTTGACCAAGTGGTTGGGAAATCAGCTAAGGCAGGTATGAGCCGCATGTAAACACAGTGTGCAAATAGATGTCAAACATTGCTTCTATAGGCAGCTAAGGTGGATGGCTGCGCGGACATCACCGGGTGGACGGGGAAGATGAAGTCGTACCTGTGGACAGCAACGATCGTTTCCGACCTTTAAATCTTCGTGCTGATATTCACTTATTGTTGGTCAAAAACATGTTTTTAGGTATCTTTGCAATTTCGTTTAGTTTTTTTCTGTTTTTGAGATTTTCAGAGAGATGTACACAGGCGATTGTATTTTTTATTTTGTTTCTTTCAGTTACCGATGCTAGCGTGTTCATTGTCAGTGTGTGGTTATGTATCTAGTTGCTATCCGTATGTAGTTACTGATCTAAGCGTTCATTCTCTATAGGGGTCTCCCTTAATTCACATGAAAATAAAATAATTCTCAGCAAAAACCAATCAATAATATAATAAGTGACAAGCAGGAATACTGAGACTTGGTAGTGATAACAAGAAATGGACAACAACAAAATCTCATGAAAGGAAACACGCAACAAAATAAGTAAACCAGCTCACAAGCATATAAGCTTAAGCTCGCGTGGCAGTTTCGGCACACATCCACAACTTGTAGTTTGTTCTTGCACAACCGCTCTAAATCAGAGTTCACAAAGGAATTCGTACGACGATTTAAGTCGTCACTCACTTCTAAACGGACTGTAATTATTTGAAACAAGACAACCAAAACGGCGAAAAAAAAACCTGAAAAATCAGCAATAAATAGAAGGTTATGAGTTGGAATCACTAAGAAATGCCTACTTGTTGGGAGCTCACGCAAGTTTTGACGACGACGACCCTGTTTCATCATACAAGCTGGGTTCTCAATTAACATCGCATATTCTGGTACGTGCGTTGAGGTCCTTGACAATTTGTTTCTCGGACATCATAAAATTTCACTGAACATTCTTCAATAATATGATCATCAAAGGACTACCCCTATACAACACACAAGCATCTTCCTTTGACTAGCCATTGATCCGTTGCACCACTCCACATGTGGCAGTGTTAAAAAGTCAAACATCTTTTTTCGCTCTGAGCATTTCCTAGGCATTTCATTGACGGAGCGTGGCCTCCAACGTTACCCATTTTGAGCATATTCTGTAGCTTTCTAATTTCAGCCTGCGAGACGCTATAGCGACTTGGTAGTAGCAGCTCACCCCTGAACTGCTCTTCTTCGTCTATAGGAATCTGGAGTCTACATTAGGTATCGTCAACGCCGATACATAAGATACTACATCGTGTACGTTTTCTCAATTTCCTTTCATTCGATTGGTAACCATTAATGATCGATGCCATCTCCAAAAACATCTTGTTGGTGATCGTCGGCCAAGTAAAAGGCTTCAATGACGCCATCTTTCTTGAAAGCTGCCGTATGGGGGAAATATCTGTATATATCGGCATCTTTTTCGGTCTGCTCCGTCCCTTGCTTGCTTAATTTAGTTTCTCCATCTCCTCCACACGTCCCATTCCAGTTTGACTATGATATCTGAGCAAAGCTCTGTCATAGAAAAGTTCAGTTGGTGGGTTTGGTGGGATTAATTGTCTCACTCGCTTTTTTTTCAACCGGCATCATCAGGCTCTTCTTTCGATTGCCAAAGTGGGTTTGAATCTGTAGTGGAGTCACAGTTTCAAATTTTCTTACGATGTCCGATGCGATGCACGTCCATAATTCCATGCGCGTCAAATTTGAGGACATAAGCCAATTTTTTTCCATTGATAAGCTGTTCATCGTTCTCGTAAACCCTGCCCCCTGTAGTCTGATACTGCGGGGGAATCGTTGGAGTCTTTTTACGATTATTCATCGGCGTAACTTCAGATGTGCATATAGATCACGCCAGTAGAACACTCCAAATTGAGATTTTTTGGGTAACGGTAGCCCTCCATTAATGGATCGCGGCTAAACTCGGGAATGTTCTGCAGCTCGATTAATTTCCTCGTGCATAGAGCCTTTGATGCAGGAGAGCACTCGCTAAAGTAGAGGCGGTCATCGGCCGCAAACCTTGCTTGCAATACTCACGCTAAGAAACAAACCGAAAGCTAATGGAAACTACTGCAGTGATAAGACAGACAAGAAAAAAAAACGCAAACAGAACAAATGTGCTCTTTTAGCAACAAACGACGCGCAGAATGTAACACGACACACGAGACAAATTTTTTTCAGCTACATCACTGCAACGGCGCAGCGTCCACGACACTGAAAAAACACACTGAATAAGTCGAATCAATATCAATCGAACATGTTCGTACCTTCAGAAAAATTGACCAGAAGCAAACCTGCAACGGCGCGACGATCACGACTCTCTAAAAAAACACAGTGAATAAGAAATTACAATATCAATCAAACATTTTCATACCTTACCAAAAATCGAATACGAAGCAATTCGCTCATTAGTGGTGATCTGCGCGGGAACCCGCGCTAATCTTTGCGATCGAAAGTTGTAAAATTCCATCACTGTCGGGCATTTACTTGGTTGAGGGCGGAGCGAGAGTGCAATAATACGCAAGCTACATCGACGGCGTGCTTTTTGGAACAATGTTTGCCAAAGCAGGAATCGCGATAACTTTTGTGATCCGAAGCCGCAAAATTGGGTCACTATCGGGCAGAGCATGCATATACTTGGTTGTGGGATGTTCCTGACGTCAGAAAAGCACGACTCCTGGCTGGGGAGGAAGTTTTCTATAATTCAACATTCGTGAAATAACTATCTTAAACTTCTCAAAATGAATCTTATTCCATGTTAGAGATTAGGCGAAAACGATGTCAGCAGAAGTACGAATCGTGGTAGGGGTACGCTTTTAAGTACAAGAGAATCTTTATGCTTTTCAGAAAGAGAGATCTCAGGGCGAGCTTTTCGGTTTTTCATTCTGCTGTTAGAGAGATGAGGTAGAGGGTGTGGCAAAAATTACGAGCCGGGACATTGCTTGGGTTAACATTGGTTGGATTGGCTGGGAGATCAGAACCTGTTTCATATCGTGGCACGCACGTTTGGAATTTTTGCGAGCCCTTTTTGTTTTTCAAAAAAAGATAAAGGATAGCTGTAGAGGCTCCAATTTGGAACGAAGAGTGAACTGCGTTACTGTCAGGTCCAGCTGATCCGCTCATCAACTATCGCTCATACCGATGATGGCATTTAGTAATACACTTCACATGGAAATATACAATTATTCGATTTTATCCTGTTTATCACAACCGTCAACAGCAAGTCATTATTTACCATTTCCAGTTGACGAAATTAAGCCAAAGAAATTAGCTCCATAAATTTTCTTAGGGGAATCAATCATCTATTCACCTTGGATTCAGTCACGACCTTTCCTGAACATTCCGCTAATCGGCTTTCCTAAAAGTCGTGTCGCTCCAGTTTCACGCTTGGTTTCTGCGCCAGAACTCGATGGTTAATCTCTATCTCGTCAAACCTGAATCCAATATTTTATAGGCAAAACCGCAGGCGGCGGCTTAGCGTCAACCAGAAAAATAGAATTCGGAGGAAACACGACAATGCGTTTTTCGAATTCGAAAGAGATCATGACTAAATATGTATTATGGGTGGCCGATTTTTCGTCGGAAAACATAGAGTTAGAACTTGTTTTGGGTCTGGAATAACGTTTCCGGCTGACTGCTCATTTTGCATTTTGCCTGAAATCAAAAGAAATCGTAGTGTTTTTAAAGGGGTGCATACCATTTTGTAGACAAAATAATTTGCTTTTGAAAAGTATAAATTTATGTCAAAGAAAAGCTCGCATTGTGCCAAATTCGAGCCGAATGCTCTCAAATGAAAATTGATCTACACCGACAACGTCACAAAAATTTGCTCTGGGAACATGGACAATCAGAGCACAACGAGGTCCTTGATAGACCGTCGAAAGGGTGTTGCATAGTATGTCTCTAACATAAGGAGCTATCCGTCACTCAAAGGCAAACTCCGGGATTGAACTAGTGCTATCAGCGCTTCTGTAGTGATAGCTTAGCTGCGGAACGACCTGAAAGTGGGAAGGAAAGCAAGAGAAATCTTTGGGAACGCTGAAATTAAGGCCTTAACCTTTAACAGGGTCGGATGTGGTACGATGGCGAGAAAGGGCGGTCAAAGAAGACAAATACGCGAGAGAGCACGTCGTTTGAGAGAGCACGCTGATCTCACCACATCTCGCGGTGGGTGGGAAGCGTTGGGGGTCGATGGTTGCAGGCCCGTAAGGATTAGCGCCCTAACCGCGCAATTTTCGCGACGAAGCTGGAGTGATCTAGGTAGTTACAGACCTTACAATTTCCCTAGTGGTATCCCTCCTACTAGTCGGGCCAATCCCGGGGTTTGCCTTTAACCGATTGGAAATTATGACAGCTTTACAATGGAACAATTACGGTAAGCCTTTTAAAGATAGATGACGTAGACAGATGACGTCATATTCTGCAGTCGTTTAAAACAGGCTTGCTTCTGGTGTGTAAGCCATCTAAGTCATATTTCTCAGTAAAAATTCCAGTGGTGACACCATGGGCGACTAGAAGATGATGATGTGTGCCATAAGCGAGTTTTTTTTTCATTCGCCAGCTTGTACATATTCACTACAACGAGAGGTTGTTAAGAGGGTTTACTAATTGGATCGCAACCGTGACTGAGCTCTTGGAGAGTGGACGGCTCCAAAGTGAGTAAGCCACTCTCCTTGTGGATCTCA